TACTGACGCAAGGAATCAAAATATGTCAGGAAACGAACGGGACACTGACAAGTCAATACGCGACGAATGCCACTGACATGGTCTGAAAATGAAGCTTAAAGGAGTGTTCCACATTCGTACAGGGGTTTGGGCTGATAGAGCCATTTTGAAGATCATTCTCTACAGTTCGCAACCCCGCCTTTTCAAGACTTAAAATCCTCTAGTTTCTTAGCCTGAGGCCCGTGGGCTTGTGCAGACTATTTCGTGCAGGCTATTTGAAGGTTACCCAGGCACGCATGACGCCATAGAAACTTCGCCAAACACTGCCACCTCAATGGCCATGTAGTGCTCACAACCAATACAATATAATCATTGAGCTATTCGTGTCTCGCGTACGTCGGTAAACTTTCTGGCATCCAAGGATTTCGGTTGGCCGTCAACCAATGCCATGAGTTGAGCGCAAGTTACGAACACGGTTTTGGGTTGCATCAAACAGGAATTTGACCAGCGGTACGCATTATGACGGAAAATGACTTATAATTGAATAACTTATTAATAGCGCCATAGCCGAGTATGTGAATGCAAGTAATCCATTTTCCATCACGGACGAATATGCCTGAACGCAACGAAAAAGGGACAAACACCCGCGCATGACGATATTTGGGTCTTGCAACAACGCACCGATTAGCACAACATCTTTCGACAAGTTGAAGCACTACCAGTGAGTCAGCCCGCCCGCTACGACGGCAACTTGGCACAGCCATCTTGGCAGCTGCTGTGACGTCATTTCAACGTTCCATGGCGCAACCCAACGATAACGCAACGAGGAGCATATTCACCAAAATCGTTTATTGTTTGTTGATTTAGGGCACAAGCAGTCCACCGGGAAAAGCCCAACTGCGGATCATAAAAAGTGAAAGAAATAGTGAAATTGCGTTGTCTGGAGAAGTCTTACTGTGAAGGTTAAAAATGCAATAGGTATTTAAGCGTTTCCAATGAGCGTGGCTGACCTGGCCGTCGTGCGCGCCGGCCGACACTGGTCGGCTGTCGCTGACTTGGCCGACCGGCGGCTCCCAGCGCGGGCCCGGCGGTGGCCGGCCCGGCCAGCGGGACCAGAGAGGCCCCGCCTGCCACGGCGCGGCCATCGGCCCCGGCTCAGGAGCTTAGCAGGGGCCTTCCGCAGCTCGGACGTCACCACTGCCGGACGCCGATCGGACCGGTGACGCCCCTCACACCGAGCACACTCTGTAAACACAGCACGGCGCAGCCGGCCGCGGCGCTGTTCACAACGGGCGGCGCACAATCGTATGATCGTATACAGCTGCAAAATCGGCAGACGTGACCCGTTTGTAGCATGAGTTAAGGGCCTTTCTGTTGTGTAAATGTACAATAGGAAGACTGTATCAGGAAAACAACAGGAAATATTATATATATATATATATATATATACATATATATGTATATATATATTTGAAATATGAGCCAAAACTACATTTATTATGTGGAGGATGGCAAGAGCTTCAAGCACATCAAAAAGCCATTCATCTATACAGCCCGTCACTGAGATTGATGGGCCATGCCTGCATGAAAATAGCGGTCTCTACCGGGGCAATCCCACTCCCAACCCGGAACTGGAGCTCCGCAGACAGACAAATGGAATCATTCTGAGGCCGACGTCGCAGTGGAAAGTCGTGGCTCCCATGGAAATGTGCCCGAATGGCGCCACAAGTTAACGCCAGTCATGCAGTTCCCAGGATATGACATGCTATATGAAAGTGATTGGCGTGATTGCCGAGGATCTTATGCTTACAATGTAATGCCGGAGGACATACACGGTATGTATAAGAAGTGCGTGCATGCACGGGCGCGTGTGTGCGTGTGCATGCATGCGTGCATGCGTGCGTTTGTGCGCGAGTGTATGACGGGGGGGAAGCACGTCTTTAAAGTTTTCCCATTAAACGGTCACCCAGTAAGCTCAGACGCTACTGACCATTGCCAGCATCGCTGGAGGTAAGATGACTGCAGGGTCAGATCCCACTGACCCCGCGCGCAGAGGCCTCCCGGACAGGCGAGGCCGTCCCTGGCGAGCAGACGGTCAGGTCACGGCCCGGCCCGGCACACAGAGGTCACGGGGACACGTCACGCCTCCCCCAGCAGGGGCACCGGACAACTGGTGCTCCCCGCCCGGTCCAGCACGGCGCCGGCCTGTCTCCAACACCGCCCGGGAGGGGGCGGTCCTCTAGCACCCGCAGCTACGCATGGGTGGTGACGTCACAGGATCAGGCGTCCCACGTGAATGCGCTAAATTGATGGCAACGCCTACACTGTAAGAACATCGGCAGTATTCATCCATCACTAATGAAATAATTATTTAGGACGGTCGTACACACATGTGATATGTGCAGTCCAAATATGTAATGCCACGACGGTCGCCAAGTGTCAAATTACACCGGTGCACCCAGCGTCATATCGCACCGATACACGGGGTGTCATATTACATCGGTACGCCGAGTGACAGATTAAACCCGTACATCGAGTGTCAGATCACACCGATACACCGAGTGTCATATCACACCGGTATACCGAGTGTCAGATTAAACCCGTACATCGAGTGTCAGATCACACCGATACACCGAGTGTCATATCACACCGGTATACCGAGTGTCACATCACACTGGTACACAGGGTGTCATATCACGTCGGTACACCCAGAGTCAGACCACACCGGTACATCGAATGCCAGATCACACTGGTACACAGAGTGCATAGGCGTAAAAACTTTTCAAAAAGTGGCGGGGAGGGGGCAGGCTCGAGGTATACTTCGGATGCTTTTTTCCGGAAAGCAAGCCCAATGACCGGGGAGGGGGGGGGGGGGGAAGAGGGTAGAGATGGAAGTTGTTATCGCTCTTTATTCAAATGGCATGGCTGCTACGCTAGATATGCATCTAGAGCTGTTTCTCACTGGCGCAAATCTTGCCTTTTCGACTCATTTATGTCATTCGGCAAATAAGGCCCTCAAACTTCCCCACATTACTCGTTCATTTCAACATCTTTCCTGTGGAGGCGAAATTCCACGAGCAAGTAGGCATTCAGGGTCATTAAGGAGGTATCTGCCTCTACAGGGTCAATGCCAAAATCCGACCAAAATGTGATAAAAGCCATAAAACTGGAGATGCTTCTTTTAGAAAATCAAGCCACAGAACGATGGCCCTTCTGTCACATATTGCTTATCTGGGCCCTACTCCGTCCGCCGTCGCGGCAAGTGCCCTGGCCCCGCCGTCTCCTGCATGATTTGACTTCGAGCTGATCGTATGGCTGCTTTGTTGCATATTACTGGATCAGCATTGATACTCATTAGTGTGCAAAACATGGCTTGGACACCTGCAGCACTCTCTTTTTCCGAATTATCTTCCCTTACGCTACAATACCCCAGAAAAAACCTCCAGTAAGAAGCTGCTTGCCTTAGGTATGAATTGGCCCAACACACATGTAATTTCCCACAATTCAACGTAGACAACTTGATCTACTTTTGTGTGTAGGCAGGAGCGTAGCCAGAGCCTTGCTAAGGAGGAACACAGGATTGACAAACACCCCTTTTGTGGTGCTCACCCCCTCCAAAAAAAAAAACAAGATGGCTCACTTGCTGACAATGAATACGGTCTTCTTCGTTTCATTGCTATTTTTCCTTGTGACCATGACAAAAAACAAAAGCTACCGTGAGATCAATTTTGTTTGCATTTTAAAGTCAGTAAGCTGCAGAAATCAGGCATTGAACGACCGCATAGAATAAATCACCGGCGCCCTTAATCTCTAAATGTTTAAGGGACTCTTTAAAACCAATAAAAGTAAGCCTTTGTCAGAATGTTTCATCTGAGCTCTACAGACATTGAAGACATCGCGAAGGTAGATTATAGGTCGATGTGCTTGATCGAAATTTAAAGATGAAAACTTGACTGTAGACCGAGTGGTCAACAATGTGTATTATCGTGACCAAGTCATGTTTGTCTGGATGGAAATGTTTAACATTCGGCCGGGATCTATTAGTGATACAATTTACGTAGCGTGTTTTAATACAAACATGGGATGCCCTTGTTCGCCTTCGAATTATTTCGATTTACTTCGATATTTCGGTATTTAAATTATTTCGATTAAATTAATTTCCACTCCATTATTATATATATATATATACCACCACTCAACTAATGAGACCCACTCCACTCACAAGAGACCCCTTCGTCCCATCGCAAAGCGTCTTCTGGCTGCAATTCTGGCGACATGGGGTGGGATCTCTTGTCATCCGGAGGCCATTAGGATATATAATATCACATTGTTCCCCTCCCTGACACGGCAGGCCTTTTGACCCGCGCAGTTGGCCCCGG